ACTGTTCAGTGGGCCGCGCAGCTTGGAGCAGCAAATTGACCACGTGAGGTGTGACCCATGGGCGGACGGAGGTCGATTCATCTGCTTAGAGCACTGCCATGTTGCCGCGTCCCCGCAAGCTCAGGCAGGCCCAGCATGCGTTTGGAGCGCCAGGCGCAAGATCGCTCTCCGGCTAATATCATCACAGAGAGACGGCATCTGTCCAGCCTGTTGCTTCTTGACTTGAGCAATATGTTGAAGCAGGATGAGTGATACAAGTAAGGCAAGTCAGAGCTGATGAAGTCTTCCTGTATCCATCTCGCGGATGAGCTGCCTCGAAGGCTTTTGACTTTGATGAGTTTGGGCACTCGAGTTGAGTGTTCTCTTCGCATGCAAGCTTACTGAGGCCAAACATCCAATCGATTCCCGGCGCCACTTCCCTAGCGTGCCTGCTCCGACACTCTCCCCTTCATGCGTTGGGGGGGGGCTGAAGGCGATCGCTGAAGAACCGGTGATCTCACCTAGAGATGCTTCCCGGCTGCGGGAGTTACCTCGCAAGACAATTCGTTTCATTCCGCGCTGCGCGCTGCAATTCCTCTTTCGCAGCTGAGGAATCGGGCAGAGCATCGAGGCACAGAAGCACGACATGATACTTTCGATCTTTTCCCTGAGCCTGACCATAAACAGTCCTCTTGCACAATTTGCACAGCACCTGCACACTCTATGTTGACTGATGTCAGGGGAGTCCACAAGATGTTGCGGCGAAACAGTTCGCTCGAGACGGACAAGGCCATGTGGCTTTGGAGCCTCCCCGAATTGCCCGGCCCGGACTGGAGCGTCAGGATGCCAGCTGCTTGAGTCCGGAAGCAAGGCCCTGCCCTGATCTGCCGATAGGCGTTTGAGGCGTCCAAGCCTGGCAGGTTCGGCTTGGGACAGAGCGCCCCTTCGGACGATGTCAGCCGCCCACTTTGCAGCTTTCACTTCGCTCCCGCTGGACTCCCGAGCTCCAGGAGCGAAAAAAGACGGCGCCCGGGCCCTCTGGGCAGAGGCAGCGCCGGGAGTCCCTGAGAATGTCCAGCCACGCGCCTGAAGAAGCCACGCGACGCGACGACGCTGCGAGGGCTCCGGTCATGTAGGGCACTGGTGCCAAGCCCGTCTCATCTCATCCCGAGGCTTTGAGTTTGGACGGCCGGGCCTCGACAAGACGACGGAAAAGGAAGTCATCTTCTGTGAGTTGAGAAAGTTTAGGATGTGTTGGATGGAGTGTCTGGGGGTTGCGCATGGGAAGCTTGATTGTTGGATACTGGTGGTAGCAAGACCGCAAAGAAGCGCATGAAAGCTTGCCACGATGGCAGGAACAGCTTTTCCCAATGTCGGTTTGCGCGATCAGCTCGGAAGCAAGGCTTGTTTGCAGGCGGTATGCCGATTCAAAGACTCTGTAGAGAGCGAGAGATGTTAGATCCCAAGTGCCTGGTGTCATCGGTTGTAGTGGACAAGAGAATCCGTCTGCATTCCTTGCCTTCAGGGCCAGCACGGGGCCCATGCCTCCTGACTCACCGGAGGCCTGGGGGCCCTGCGGGGGATTACAACAACAGAGACGCAAAGAGCATGATGTGCTTGCATGGGCCAACTTCCCCAGGCTGCCCTGGACCTGTCCTCGAGGAAACCTGGGAGCAGTTCAGGGATGCTGGAGTGTGTGTTTGCCCGTAATTACGGGATATGACAGGCCGCAGCTCTGGGGCAAGCAGCGATCCCTCGCGGACAAAGAGGACCGGGCCGGGGGCTGTTTATGTACTGCTTCCGCAGCAAAGAATTTTTATCAGGCCGCGGATTCTTCGGAGCGACAGCGTTTCTCAAAGACCAACTACAGACGAGACTACAAACAGCACCGACTTGCGGGCGGCTTGGCCGCAAGACAAATCTCTTGGTCGTGCATCGCGACGGCGTCTTCAAGGGGACTCAGTGACTCACATCATCTCCAGGTCTGGACATCAAGGGTGACATAGACAAAGCTTTTGACAAAGCCGTGGAGAAGGCATCACCTCCAGCGCGAAGAGCCTGCCAGCGAAATTATCTTAAGTGCACCTGCGAATAACTGCAGATGACTCCACGTCAGCCACGGCCGCAGCTGCCGTTCTGGAAAGACGAAGGCAGCACCAGCCATGTCCCACCAGCATGGGGGTGAATGTGCCATGTCTAGGAAGCAGTCTTGGAACAGACCTGCAGGACCGCTTCTACCGCATGTGCCAAAGGCTGCCGGGCTAGACCTCCAGACTTGACATCTCAGAAAAGGTGCAACTGGCATCTTGCATGGCCCATGCCCGTGGCCCCTGAAGGTTACGTGCCAGTCTTCACCTCGTGGGCCGATCTCTCCGGGATCCGGGGACGAGGGCTTGGGCCCTCCGGAGCGAGCCCAGTCTGTTGGCTCCTCGCTCTCCTCTGGGGAATCTATTTCCATGCTGCATGCGGCTACTTGTCCGGCACAGGAGCGCCCGCGGGGCCACAGTCGGTAATCAAGCCTGTGTGGTTCCACCGGGCCACGGGGAAACTTGTAGCAAACTCTGGGCTTGAAAAGATCACAACACAGGTGCCGGGATCGAAGGCCATGGAGAGTTTCCAGGTCCGGGTTCAAACCATTCTCGATATTGGCCACATGTCCGTGGGATGACATCAGATGCTTCTCTCGAAAGTCCTGAAATCGTGCTCGAAAGCAAGCCAGTTGCGGAAGGAGTCAGCTCCCCAAAAGTGGCAATCTGACCACCTGCCGGCGGTGCCGATGGTCTCTGTCCAGCAATTGGAGCTCAGACAGGACACAGACTCTGCTGCGGCAAGCTCGGACTATGGTGGAGTACTGCTTTTAGATGTCTGACCCCGGTCCCAAGTGCAATTGAAAGCTGCCATGCGGTTGTCCATCCTTGCGGCTTTTGGAAGAGTCGCACAGGAGAGCCACTCTTCTTGGATCGAGCCCCTGCCGTCCAGGAGGCCTCTTGTCTGTTACCATAGAACACGGGAGGGTAAGGCTTGGCCACATTGACCAGGCAGATGAGCAAGACGGATGCGACACCCTACTCTCCCGTGGCTCCCAAGGAGTCGTGGCGAAGCTGCCCGATGAAACAAGCGGAAGATGCAAGATTTGTGTATCCGCATGAAGACTGCCTATGCTGTTGGAGCTGCAAGGCTCAATGCAGAATGCAATAACACGCCGTCGGAACTCAGACATCTCCTCGATGGTGTCTCGGCGACATTAGCTGAAGCGGGGACCCGGGCAAGCATGCTTACGGATGCGTGTTGGGATACGTTCATCCTGACGCAAGACTATCAAGACCATGCTTAGCTTCAGTCGCTGCAGACAAGGCATGCGCTAGCGGCATGGCATCGTCTCGTGATGCCGATGCTTGCGAGAGTGCCACAAAGCCCTGTGCTGAGGTAAATCGGCCGGATCCGCCGCAGATGCGGCGAAGATCTTTTTTGGGGCCTTAGCAAAGGCACCGGGTGTGGCCTGGGTCGCTTTGCAGGTTCGCAGGCCTAGCGATAGGGCAAGTAGAGTCAGAGTGTGAGGATCGTGCGAATAGCATGCTGCTGAATAGTTAGTCCCAACCATGCCTCCGCTGAACCTCAATGCTTCCAAGACCCCTTGCACAGTTAGCAGCTGTGGCCAACGAGGCACAGCCAAGGGGTCCACGTGAGGTAGCATATCCTTTTTCAAGAGCCAACCGAGCCGGTAGTCACAACGAACGCCGGTTTTGCTCTCAGATCAGCCTCGCAATGGCGTAGAAGCCTAGCCGTGGCCTAGCACTGTACATACTTGCGCAAATGCGTGCTTGTAAGTGCCTTTCCAGGTTCGACATGGCCTGGGCTTTATCTGTTCAAAGTCATACTGGGTCTAGACAGACTGTGACAGACTGGACAGAACGAAGCGCAGTGAGACAAAACACCTACATAAGCCCAGCGCGACAGGCAACCAGCAGCACATTTATCATTGTCTGCGCACACAAAATGAACAAAGAGTCTTTGTCAGTCAAGGTGCTGATGTCTTTGGGTGGAGATGATCATTCCATCTGCCAGTGGTCCGTGATCAAGCCCCGTGCTGGACCAAGCTAAGTTCATGAAGCGTGTCGAGCACGGGCCAGTGCCTCTTGACCAAGGTGCTGCAGAAATAGGGGAGCCCTCTTTGCTTCCGCATCCGTCTGGAGCAAAGTCCAGACACGACACCGGGTCAGCTCTAAGCTGCTCTGCTCACCTCTGTAGGTGGACCAAGCTGGAGGGTTCCGATGCGCGGGCGGCTGAGGAAGCTTGGTACCGCCGACGGGATGGACTGATGGATATATTACGGATGTATGATGAGTTTGATGTCAGTGAGGCCTCGGGACCGCTTCGCCTTCCTCGGGCAAGAGGCTGGCTTGGAAGGCCTCTCCAGGCGCGAAGGCGACGCCTCACAAGCCGATCTTGCGAGCCAAGCACGTCGACCCGGTTCAGCGCCGCCATGCAGGCAGAAACTTTCTCTTAGCTCCTCACGGACAAATCGGACACACTGCTTGCATTCGTTTCAGGCCAGCGACGCCGCAATCGCAGCCTCAAGGCTTGACGAGACCGTTGGAGTCAGTTTCGTGGAATCATGGAGAGCTCAGAGGCTACCACCGCAACCAGCCGAGAGCCCAGATTCTGAGAATGCCACATGTCCACGTGCCATAGAGCTCTCGTCTCGCCATCTCGCAGGAGCCGCGGGGTGAGCGCAGCGTTGCAGTGGTCATAAGGGGCACTGCAAGGGTCGCCTCGGCGAGGTACAGTCGGACAAAGGGCTGGCTATAATTTGTTGCAAGCTGCACGCATCTGCACGCTGTAGAGTCCGAGTGCGCGGCTCTGCCGCTGCCCACCTGCAAGAGCAACGAGCCAGAACCCTGTACAGCTGCAGCTGCTGAAGTCTTGCTAGCGGGGCACTCGCACAGGAACAATAAGGCATGGCGGCATAACCTACAGCCCCGCACCAGCAGAAACGCATGCGACGAAGCGTTCAAGCGGAGGTCTGCCGGCAAGATGTGAGGATCTGCCGTCGCTGCTTTGGCCGATCCTAGCCTGTTTGCATTCCCGTTCCTTTCTCAAGCGAGCTCTGCAAAGTGCTCGACAGGATGGCGCCGATTCTGAATGCCGGAGGCTTCTCAAGCGAGGTGGGTGATGCTGTGTGCTGTGATGTGCTGTGCAAGTTCTGTATTTTGTTGTGCCACAGGCGCTGTCGTACGCGATTGCACTGCACAAGGCCGAGGATGTAGAACTCGAATTTGGGCGACGGCCCAGCTACCACTGTTTCGGGAGGTGTATTCCCAGAACAAAGGAGGCCGGCCATTGCAGATGTAGTGATGTTGCTTTGTGGAAAGATTCAGCCCACGTGCTGTCTATGCTGTCAGGAAAGTTTGGCTTGCGGCAATTTGCAGAGCAGGCAAGTGCAGACCTTATTCTTCCAGGCTTTACAGTCCTGTGAGGAGAGCAGAAGTTCTTGCGGTCCCGGAGTGCACCCGCTTGTCTCAGGTAGTTCCTTTGTCGACGGCCTACCCTCAGGCAGCTCGGCTGATGCTCCTACTGGAACGATCAGCAACACCTTGCTGCTCAGGTCTACGACAGCACTTGCAGCAGATGCTGCAGACAGGGCGCCGGCGTCGCCCCGAGAGTTTTTGAAGCGAAGTCCAGTGGCTAGGGTGAGATCGCCGCTATCACAGGACCGATGTTCGCTGGGACGTGGTGGTTTGCCATGCGACGTCTCGCCCCTTGGCTGTTTTCTCTCGAACACAAGATCCGTGACTCGCTTGAGGCCAGACGTTTGGCATGGAGACGGAGCCTTTGGCTGGGGCAAGGTCCCGTGAAAAAGAAGCCAGTCGAGGCGAGGTTGCGGAACCGGCCAGGTCGAGCCTTGCCCCCCGACCGCGGCGCGCAAAAGCCAGGAACTCTGATCTCCGCGCTGCCCGCGCAAGCACTACCGCCCGCGTGTACTCTGACGCTGAGGCATCGGACGAGCGATGTACGAGTCGGATCGCCTTCCGGAATCCTGGGTGGCACGAATCAACGTCATGGACCAGGATTGGTGATTTGTTGAAATATGGGGCTGCGCTGAGTTGACTGGGCCCGAATTTATAGTTCTTTCATCAGCCGTACGCCCCGAGAGGTGTGGGTGCCATCTAAGTTCGCCGTGGAGCAGTTCGCAAAAAGTGGTGTCCCCCGTGAAAAGATAGCGGTACTACCAGAGGCGTGGGTCAGGTTGCATCTGTGATCAAAGTGACACGTCGCAGCTCTGTGTCACTGCAAGTTGCTGAATCTGAAGGCTGTGGACGTGGAGCTTTTCAACCCCGCCGTGCACGAAGCTTTGGACTTGGAACTTGGAGCCTCGGCTTCAGCACGTAATTGACGGTTGAGTCTCACAACATCTCACGCATGCGCCCTTTAATTCTTTCTGCGGAGGAGGTGGCCTATTTCGCTTCGTCTCGGTCTTCAAGTGGGAAAAGCGAAAAGGTTGGGACATCCTGCTGCGCGCCTACTTCCAGGAGTTCTCCGAAGCCGACGACGTGGTGCTGGTGATCAAGACGCAGCCTTTCCACAGCGGCGATGATTTCGAGAAGAAGCTCCGCGAGGAGATTTCTCGAGCCCAGAACCAGGGCCCCCAGGGCCCCCAGGGCCAGGCAGGGAGGAGGCCGGCGCGCTTGAAGCTGCTGGCCAGGGACCTGAAGCTCAAGGAGCTCCCAGGGCTCTATAAGGCTGCAGATGCCTTCGTTCTGCCCAGCAGGGGCGAGGGCTGGGGAAGGCCCCACGTGGAGGCGATGGCCATGAACACTTTGGGGAAGAAGAGCATAGTAGAGCTTAGGCTTCGTCCATTAAAAGTCCCTGTGGGATGTGCCAGTGCCTATCCTCATGCCGTGAGGCCATGAGCATGGGCTTGCCTGTGATCGCCACGAACTGGAGTGGGTCGACAGAGTTCCTCTTGGAGAATGCTTCCCTCCCTTTGCGGATCGATGGACTTGAGCCCGTGGAGAATGGACCCAAAGGTCACCAGTGGGCCAAGCCCTCTGAAGCTCATCTTCGAGAGCTGATGCGCTGGGCTGCGGAGCACAGGGCTGAGGCGAGGAGCCTGGGCGAGGCCAGGGCCAGATCCGTCCATCTTAGGCCCCTACCAGTAGGTGTTTTAAGTGGGGGCGGGGATCCTCTGGGATCCCTCTGGGCCTGTCCAGGCTGCTCGCAGGTTGATGCTGGAGCGTTTCAGCCCCAAGGCCGTCGTTGAGAAGCATCTGCTGCCCTTGCTCCAAAGGTCTTCAGGACAGGAGCTGGGTCCCCCTGAGTCGCTGATGTCCAGTTTCATGTCAGTTCCTGCCAGGAGCTCGTGCCCAGCGAGATTCCGAACTGTAGCCGTCAGCGCAGCCGGGTTGTCGATTCTCAACTTCCTTGACCTGGTGCTGCAATGTCTATATTCCTGCCTCTCTGCCCAAGGACGGCAAACAAACCTGCGGAGGAACTTCGTCGAAGACAGCCTCATCCGCCTAGGGCCCCATACTTTCTCGTCCCGGCTGCTGCAGGACTCAAGCTGAAAAGGCCACTGCTCAGATGGCCTGCAGAGTTCTGGAAGAAGTCGTCACACTCCACGCGACGAGCGGCGCACAGCAAGGAGTCCACCAATTCGCAAGGCTCGGATGAGCCAGGTGCGAAGAGACATACTGGAGCACATGAGCATGGAAGCGGAACGTTTCCAAGGTCCCAACAAGAAGGTCAAATATGAGAAAATTGATGTGCGTGATATAGAGACCTCGGGGGAGACTTCCGCCAAACCCTGTCGAGGACCCCGCCAACAAGTCGTCAAACTGGCAGGTCCTCAAACATCTGCCGAACCATTCGTTCCACTTCGCACTGGAGACGTTGCCGATGTGTCGAGCGTTTCTGAGATGATCGGTTCACAGCTTTCGTTGTCTTCCATGTGTGGGAAGTGCAAGGTCAGGGAGATTCCAGCTGTCGACGCTGGCAGAACTCTTGTCTTTGGCCTTGGCCAGCATTGAAGAAAGGGATCTCTGGGAAGGAAGCCTCGATGCGAGAGTCTTCAGCGGAAAGCTGTTCTGATTCTTCCGCTGCTGGAAAGACCTTTGCTTGTGCCTGGTATGCTGAGAGTATTGTAGAACATCCAAAGAGGCTCCGTTACGAACCGTTACGAACACATCCGTGTGATCTGCGCTGTCGGGCTCAAGTGCTGACAACACTCGGCATTTCCCTCTGCGAGCGAAGCCTTCGACTCAGCGGCTTGTCCATTCGCGCAGACGGATTTTACCATCTCACGGTTGGCACGAAGAGGACGCTAGCTGCGTTGCTGAAGGCAGACCATTGCGACATCGAACCTCAGAATCCATGCTCAGGAGGGCTGCCTGCCATGACTCGTTGCTGTTTTTTTGGTTAATTTCTGCTGCGCAGGCTACTTGTCGGCTTCTTCTGCGTGTGGGGCCTCGCGGCCAAGGACTGGAGCTCTCGAGCCATATCTGAACTCACAAGTCGTTGATGGCAGTTCTGCAGCCATGCGGAGGAGGTATTTGAAACACCAGTGGGCATGCGGCAGGCGCGCTGAGTCCCTCAGAGTACAAATGCCGATGCCGGCGACAGCAGGCAGCACGTGGTGAAGAGGAGGTGGAGGCAGCTGAGATGGCTGAGGCGGATGGTATGCACACCCACTGACATTTCTGTCAGTTTACGCAGCCGGCCGGTGACACTAAGACTGGATAAGACTGGTAAGCCTGACTTGCAGGTAGAGGTGCTGAGGACAGAGTTGTCCCCGCCTCGGGTCGTCGAATTTGGTCCAAGCACAATGTGCAGCACCCAACGAAGCATTCCTCGGCAGGCTGCAGATGAAAGTCTCGAGCGCAGGGACCTTTGATGACGTTGAGGAGACAACCTTGCTCCAGGCAGACGCCAAGGCAAGTCCGGGGGAGCTCTGCGGCATTGTGGGGCCTTTCATCGGATATTCGGAGCCAGGCCTCCGTTGTGATTGATGACCTGGCCGACTTCCCAACCATGCTCGCAGATGGCTCAGGCTTTAGCTGAGACGCTGGGAGCGTCGTGAAGCAGAGACACGATGATCTGAACAGACCCCCATTCCAGGTCCAGACTGACATGGAGGTCCAGCCTGCTTATTCTATGTATGTTCTAATTCTCTGCATGCGCTGTACTGGAAGAGTCCTTTGCGAAGAGTTGCAAGAGCTTGCTCTTCAGTTGTCGGCGCTGAGACCTGCATGTCTTCCGCACTGCTTGCAGTTGGCCACGAATCAAGCCTGAGCTGCCGACTGACCTCATGCGGCGGCGAGCAGGAAATTAATCTGGCCATCCAGCCCGATCTAGCCAGGACGCATGTGCATCCGACATCTTGCTAGAACCCCTCGCGCTGATGGAACGGAGGTGTGCATTTGTGTCTTGACTCTTGACCTTGCATGCAGGCTCATGCAGGTGCAGAGATTAGATGATTAGATGTTTGCGACACGAAGTCACAGCATATTGCGGAAGTTGTGGACTGACATACAGACACAGTACTGTAGGGGTCAACGACCGAGACCCTGGGGTTGTATACCGGGATTGTCTTTGGCGTGCTCTGCCACTGTCATCCACAGTCTTGCCGCGATGTCAAGCGCGCTCCTGCGTGCCAATGCCGCTTTCAGCTCGGGAGGGCGTCCTGGCCGCTCTGCAGACTCTCAGTCCTCCCGATGCGGGCTCTGTGGAGCGGGTTCTAGAACCTGTGCCCCGGCTTTGGAAAGAACCCATAATGTCTTATGCGTATGGATACGCAGCACGTTATGAAAACGAGCGCTTGCTGTCTAGAATCTAGACTTCAGAATGAAGTACACGTACGCATGTTGCTAGAGCTGAAGGATTCATAAGATGTGGCTTTGAGTGGCTATGTCACCTTCCGGCTAGAGTCTTAGATTAGTCTTGGGTTTTGAGAAGCATGCAGGCAGACACTAACTATGCCTTGCTGAGCCACGTAACAGCGGCAGCATCTGCAGACCACCAGGTGCTGGAGGGATGGTCTCGACGGCCGGAGCAGGCGACCTGGATCCTGTCACGCTTGGCAGCGGGGCATCTGGCCACGAGCCTGCTGGTCATGGACGTGATGCGGACGCAGCATATGCAGGCAATGGATGAAACAAGGACAGTGTTTTGCTATCTTCAAGACTTCTGCACTTACAGCAGCAGAAGTTGACTGGCAAGGTCAACACCGTGCACATGAACACGCTGCTCAGTGCCTTCGCAAGACGAGGGCGATGGTTGGAAGCTCGAAGCTTGCTGGATGACATGGTCTTGCAGGAGGTAGGTGTTTCCAACATCCCTTGTCCCAACGGGATGCTGTGTTCAACCAGTGGAGCTCTCAAGCCATCCCTGCCGGACGTCAAGGTGAAGCAAGACATCATCTCCTGCAGTTGCGTAATCACGGCCTGCGAGAAGGGAAATGCATGGGAATTTGCGATGCAGCTGCTGGAGCAAATGCAGGTCGTGAAAGTGCAGCTGCTTGTCCTAAGTGGTGAGACAAGAGGGAGCGGGTATTACTTAGTATGAAGTTTGCTTCTGAAGGCAGGACATCATTTGCATGAACTCGGCCATCAGCGCCTGTGAGAAATCCGGGTGCTGGGCCGCCGCTTTGCGCCTGCTCGAAAGCGCCAAGCAGGCGAAGGCCAGGTTCTCAGTCCTCGCAGTCCTCGCTCTTGTGTTTTTCTCTTCGATGTGCCAGGTGCGACAAGACACCATCACCTACAACGGCTGCATCAGTTCATGCGAGAAGGCCCCAACAAGAAGAGCGGTCTGCTGCCCAAGGAGGATACCGCCATGAAGCATATGTGAAGTTCAGAGGCCAGCGAATGGTCGAGAGCTTTGGAACTGCTAGCTTCGATGTCAGGCTGGGTGAGCTGCGCGCGCTGTGTTGCTTGCTTTCACGGCCTGTATGCTCCCCCAGACTTTGCAATCTGCAACAGATTCGCTCTTAAAGAAAGACGATATCTCCTTCAATGCGACCATCAGCGCATGCGGCTCCAGCCAGCATCTTGTTCTTTGGAGGGTTTTTCGTCAAGTTTCGAGCAGGCTTTAAAGCTGTTCTCCTTTTGATGGTATGTGATGGTATGTGGTGTGTGTGGTGCTGCTCTCACTGCTCTGCCACTGGAGGCACTGGCTTCGTGTCCTGGATCTCTTGCAGGTGCCCTCAGCAGTCTCAGAGCAGTCTGACGCCTTCTGCAGTCGCTCTATGCCCTATGCGTGTACTGTGCAGGAGATGTCGCTGAGCTCCTTGCAGTCTAGCGCAGTGACCTTCGCTGCAGCAATCTCTGGTCTTGGGCCACGTTGGCAAATGGTCTTGGTCCCTTGGCCCCCTTGGCCCTTGAATAGCTGAATCATGCAAGATCAAAATAAAACTGTAAAGTGCGTACTTCCAGGCTCTCCTTGAAGACATGAACCGCGAAGCCATTGAGAAAGACTTGGCACCTCGCAGCAAATGCGAAAGTGCCAGGTGAAGTTTTGCTTCCGATGCATGCTCCTTGCACAAGTCCTTGCTAGCATCCGACCATTCGAGAAAGGTCTGCTACAATGCCGCAATCAGTGCCTGCGAGCGAGGTAGCTGTTGGCAAGGGGCCATCTTCATTTTGACGAAAGACATGGCCATAGCAGATACGATCTCCTTTGGAGCTCTTATCAGTGCGTGTGCGAAAGGCAGGAGCCCGAGCAACGGACAAAGTCCAAGCGAGCACGCACGCAAGTGTGAACATGTTTGCTGTGCTCGCATCTGTGGATTTTTTTCCCGAAACAGTGTGGCACATACTGTGGGGTTCTATCGTTGACTGTCAAGAGAATGTTTTAGGTGCCTGCGGCCCGATGCAGCCTATCCCTACAACAGTGCACGCACCATGCATCAAAAACAGCAGAAGCCATTCTACTGTATGGTGGAGACTTAGCTGGAGGAGCAGCAACCATCGGGAGCTTACGCTACCCTTCAGCGGCGTAGCCACACACAGCCCGGCAGCGTAAGTTCAGCCAGATCGGCCAGCAGATGTCCTAGGGCTGCTAGCGGGGGACACACGGCACCACCCTATACTCCGTCCGTCGTGTGCGAGCCTCTTGCAAGGGGGGGAAGGATCCGGAAGCTGAAGGCAGCGGCTAAAGAGGTCGTCCAAACAGAGGGCACGAAGCTGGAGCGAAAGACAAGCGCCCTTCTTGTGGGGAGTTGATCCAGTGACTAGTCACGTCGGTGCTTGTGTTCACAGTGGGGTCCGGCAAGCCGAGCCAAAGCGCGAGAGACTACCAGAACCCCGACCGTCATGCTGTACATTCTGCAGCTTTAAGGTTATGCATAGGCCAAGCTGCCTACACTGGGGCGAGAGAGGCAGCTTACACCATTCTGTCTCGACAATTGATGTAGTTTATGTTAACGAAAGCACCCAAAATTAGTGCATAGCCGGTAGTCAAAGCGTGGCCAAGAGACCCGGGGGAGGCAGTCAGGAGCAAGCGAAACTTCGGGTTCCAGAACCCTCGCACCAAGGCAAGCAAACACAAAAAATTAAGTACAGATGAATATGTCTGTACATGTATGCGTCACCTGCTGGCTGGTTGCTTGATTCCTGCCTCCGAGGCCTTGAGTGGCAGGTTGCTCTTGACCTGCTGTTCGAGACCAAACCAGCACTTGCCCTGACCAAGACCGCAGTGACCGTGGGTGCTGCTATCAGTGCCTGCGGGAGCAGCTTTGAGTGGGATCGCGCGCTGAAAGTACTCAACTGGGCCCGGGATGACCAAGTGAAACTGGATGCAGTTGTGCTGCTCGCCTCGGGCAGTCATGTGGGTTGCTATCGTCAGTATTTCCGATGGCGAGCTAGTCTGAGTGCGGGCCTGCCTGACAGTGCAAGGTACAATGCATCCATCGCTGCCTGCGAGAAGGGCTATGCTTGGGAGATAGCTCTGAACTTGCTGGGCAGGCGCCAGAAGTGCATCACAGCAGACGACTGATTCGCGCGATGCGATGACTCATGTGGTTCTAGCTTGGTCGTGGACTCTTCCCCTTCCGTGAGGATGCTGGTATCCCAAGTTGAGCCGTCCTATGTTACTTATAATTCGCTGATCAGCTGCTCGGAATAAAATGGCAGCTGTTTCGTCAGAACGCTTCTGTGCTGAAGACACAAATGATACTGAAGTTAGACTCTCAGGTGCATGTGAACAGGGCGGCCAGTGGCGGCATAGTTTGGAGCTGCTTGAAGACATGCGAACGGCTCAGCCCTCAGATCCACGTGAACTCTGCTACTGTTTGCGTCGCTCGGAAGGAGCGCTGAGTTTTGCGGAGGCTGCGCTGCAGTGCGGCAGGGAGGCCTTCGGCAGCGCCCTTCTGGCGTGCACGCGTGGCCAGGTGCTTCTGCCGAAGGGTCTCGACAAAGCCCCCATTCATTTCTGGGGTTTGGAGATGGCTGGAGGCTTGGCAGACGGCGCTCCTGCTTTGCGGTGCCATGTCATCGTGCTCCGTGCAGAAGGACTCATCTCAGCAGCCTCCGTTTGCATGTCTTGGCCTTGCACGAGCGAGGATGCTGACATTTGCTCGTCAGCAGTGGTCGCATGCGAAGCTGGCACTCGTTTCCACACGGTCCCAGCCCGAAGCCTTTCCGTGCGCTTCTGCTCGCACAGCGGTGTTTCGGGGTCCCAAGGCTGCAGAGCTGCTGTCCGACATTACACTTCTCACCCAAGCGGAGCTGCAGTGGTAGGAAAGAAGGGCTGGATGCCGCTGTGGCGTTAGGGGGTAGTGCAATGTCGTGCAGTCGAGCGTGGCCAGATGATTGGCTCAAGCGACGCGAAGCGGATATGCTGAGCCGCTGAGCCGTAAGGGTGGGCAGTCTTCGGACGAGCGGAAGCGGATGTGGGGAGCCCAAAGGATCCCTTGGATAATGCGATCGATGCGGCTGCTTCATGGCCTCCGCTCCGTCGTGGAGCCGGGAGTTCTCCAAGCAGCGAGTCTCAGAACTTACCAGGCTCGGCAAAGCGACGAACTGGGCCAAAGCTCTCAGTCTCGTGGCTGACAACGCCGAGAGGGGCCCAGACCTCGATGTCTTTGCCGTGGGAGCGAGCATTCGTGCGTGCGAGCCCGCTGCAGAGTGGGAAGTCGCACTGTCTTTGCTGTCGCTGGGCCGTGCAAGTCGAGTCGTTCTGAATGACATCGCCTACAACATTGCGATTAGCGTTTGCGACAAGGCCAAAAAGTGGCAGCAAGCCATTCTGCTTATTCAGGACATGGAGGCGAATCATGTGCAGACGGATGTGATCACGTGGAGTGCTTTGGTCAGTGCTTTTGCCAAGGGCCAGCAATGGGAACAGGCCTTGGAAGTCCTGCAATCACTGCCATTACGGCACGTGACACCAAATGAGATGACATACAGTGCTGCAATCAGTGCATGCACGGCCGCGACGCCGTGGCCTTGGGCCCTTGAGATTGCAGAGGTCATGCAGCAGCAGAGTCTGGAAGCTGATTCTGTCGTGCAAACCGCCATGATCACCGCCTGCGGCTTCGGTGCGAAGTGGGAAGAATGCATCGCTATTCTAGCAGCCATGCAAGGTGAGCCTCTTCGGCAAATAACTTGCAATGCATTCATGACCTCCTTGCAGAGGGCAGGGCAATGGACTCGGGTCCTCGATGTGCTTCGTGACATGCAGCAGAAGGCTGGAGTTTGGAAGAATTGCACCCTTGACTCCTTCGCCTGCTCAGCTGCGATAGCAGCATGCGGCACCGGCGGCCACTGGCAAGCGGCTGTGAGCCTCTTTCTGCGGACTCCAGTGCAGTCAGTGGTTCTTCTGAACGTGGCCATAGTCGCTTGCGGTGAGAACTCTCAGTGGCAATGGGTTCTGCAGTTGTTGAGCCAGAGCCGTGTCAATCGGTTGGTGCCAGACACCATATCGTGCAACTCCGCCATAACAGCATGTCAGATGTGCGGACGCTGGCAGGAGGCAGAGACAATCCTGGACGAGATGACAAGACAGGCAAGCTTTGCATGGCATGCCCCATTCATGTCCTCCCCGAGAAGCAGTCCAAGGTCACGGGTTTCGGCAGTAGTCTGGGGCCTCCAGGACCTCCGTATTTACAGATGAAGACAAATCTGGCAGCAACCGCGAGACCCCGGCCAGGGCAGGTTACTAATGGCATGATACTGTGAACCGGGTTGACCAGGAAGGAGGCCTGTTAAGTCTTCGGCATTCCTTGGGGCGACCCCGTTCGAATCTCCTAGCCCTGTGGCTTTCCCCGAGCGGATGCCAGGTGAGCGCTGCTCCGGACCGGATCACGCTGAATGCCTTTATCACTGCTTGCGGGGTCGCTCAGCGATGGCAGCGAGGCATCTCGGCCTTGCTCGGTCAGCTATCTGCTTTCAGTGGTATAGAGCCTGACACGGTAAGCTGTAATGCTGCCCTGGCTGGATGCCAAGCACAGTGGAGACAGTGCGGGGCTATTCTGGACTTTGCAGCTGCAGCAAGCATCATCATCGATGAGGTGGGGTGCTCCGCCGCCATTACCGCTTTCGATCGTGGCCATTCCTGGGAGCGTGCAAGCCTAGCTCTCTGTGCGATGCCCTCACTTGGCCAAAACATAGTGGCTACCAACTCAGTGCTCGCCGCGTACGAGAAGGCCGGTCGATGGGACTCCGCGCTTGCACTGCTTTACCGACTCAGTATGCATCAGTTGGAAGCAGATCGAGTTAGCTTCAACAGCTGCACGAGCTGCTGTGAGAAAAGCCTGTTCTGGTGGCAAGCCATCGATGTCTTCCAAAACAAGATGCAGTACGACTTGATCAGCTTCAACGTGTTGCTGCGCTCGTGCATGCATGCGGGCGATTGGGAGGCGGCCGTAGCGTTGCTGGCAAGGATGGACGAGGAAGTGCTGCAGCCGACAGAGATCAGTCTGGCTCCTGCGATCGAGGCACTTGCAACTTGCCGCTATCTGCAAATGTACTGCGACAATGCGATGTCTGCACGCAGCAGCCCTTCGAACTTCTGTATGATGCGATGCTCACCAAGGTAGAAAACCAACGAATCACCACGACTTGTGCCACTTAGCAGCAATCCTTGGACCTTGAATTGATTCGGTGCAAAGGAGCATGTTTTGCACTTGAGGACCTCCTCTACCAGCTGCAGGACCGAACGCTTCTATCAACCCTCGGCGGATACTCAAAAAGTGGGCCCTTCCGCTCTATGCAGCGGGATTGTTTCAAATGCAAAGATGCAGCAACTTTGGATTCCAGAGCTCGGCGATTTCACAGTGCCACACCGGAGCATCTTGCAAATCCATAAGGCGGTAAATCAGTTAAGGTCCATTGTAGCCGCTACGCAGCATTGACATTTGGTCAATGCTGCGGTATTGGATTGGGATCCTTGTCGTGTCACGTCGTAGTTGCCTGTTCAAGCGCTCCATTGAAGTGCAGTGCAGAACGAGGCATGCAAGGACCAAGATGCACGGCGTCATGAGAAGTACGTATGTCACAACCACCCTGACAGCAGCCAGTGGTACCAAGACAGAGCAAACCAGTAGGCCGCCGTCTCACGTTTGCCAAGACATGAACACAGGATAATAGATTTTGCATGCTCGGTCAATTTCCTCCTTCAAACCTTTAATCCTTCGTACCGGCCGTAGTGGCACGCGTTTTTAGACTGCTCATCCCAGTCCGTATCCCTTGCGTGGGTCATGGATGCTGGAAGGCAGGTTCTGTGAGTACTGATGCTTTTGGGCTGGTATCTTCTGTGTGATCGGACACTCCATCGGCGGCTCATGAACGATCGAAGCCCAGCAGTATCCCAGCCGTCCGACTCAAATACGATCAGGGCAGCGGAAGCAGCCAACTTGAGACGACGTACGGCGGGGCTCTCTGGCATCAAGATTCGGATTTCTTTTCCCAGAAAATCTAGACGAGGCAACCCCGCCGCCTCGGCCGCATGAACGCAGCTACCTCGGAGCTTTGAGTTTAACGTAGCTTCGCAAGGTTTGGCTTTCGTTTGGCGAAGAGCTGCGAAGAATCTTCACCGTTGGCAGGCCGAGCTGGTGTGACGCCATCTTTGGAGGCACTGCAACGTAAAACAAAAGTGAGATGACTTAAAATTTCACGATCGAGTTCTGGTGCGCTTGAGAGTTTGCTTAGCAGGAAGTCTCCAGTGTCAGCGGTGAGGAAGATGTGACGCAGGGGCCTCAGTGAAAGCGTTTGAATGCCCAGGCTATGAAGCTGTGCCTTCATAAGCGCCGGGATTCGAAATCATAGGTGGGCTAGAGATGCTGCGCAAGCACCTTGCAAGACCTCCAAAACAGCCGCCGCCAAGGCATTGCGAGCAGTTGGAAAACAATGGATTGAAGTGAGTAGGCGTGCAATTGATGCTCACCAATTCCTTCGTCCTTTGTTCGGAGGAAACAGAGCCCTCGAAGCAGTGGCCCAGTATCCATCAGCGCAGCATCATCGCAGTGGTTTGGAGCCCAGTTCCGCGAGACTCTTCAGCAGGTTTCGTTGTCCTTTCGCCTTTCACTGACACTCCAGGCGCTGTCGTCATGCGCTTTGCTGCTAGCAGTTGGCCCAGCGGCATACTGCTGGCTGAATCAGGTGGGAAACCAGCAACTCCCTCCCTTTGTTCTGACAGGGTGTGGCAGAATGCTTCTTTCTTGCAGGGTGTAGCAGCATGTGGCTACATTGTGCTTGTGCAAGTTTCTGGCAGGGCCGGGCAGAGCTCGCCGACTCGTATCGAGGAACTGCCCACCCACTCGGCGAGACGGATTCCTGCCACACTGGGCAGGAGGCGTTTGCCACTGCTAGACAACAGCGGTGGTGAAGGCAGATCCATTTGGCCAGGCTGCTCCCATCAGCCATCACCATCGACCAGCATTGTACCTGGGGCGTGACTACGTCAATGAGGCGAGGTCGATGCAGTGGTATGTCATGGCAGGCCATGATTCCGGCCTTGGCAGGTAGCATCTGGAGGCATCAATGGCCTACTGATGATGGCCAGTGCCTTCTTCAAGACACCTCATTTCACCTGGTCCGTCCTGACGCCCAGTTCGAGGTTGCAACCGTGGTTGCCGGAATCGGAATAGACATGCCTGGTCAGCAAATTCTGGCTCTTGGCGCTGATGGGGTCTCAGAGTCTCGAAGACAAAGACATTTACATGGGTAACCGAGGAGCAGCGGCTTTGCTTTGCCCCAAATAAGGCGAGCCTCGTGTCTTATGCCTTCTCCATGGGCTTCGGCGCCTTCGTGGTGGCATAGCCCAGAGGTTTTTTTTGTTTTTGCTTGCGTTAGGAATGGATTGCTTCTGCCTGCGGTCCCTAGCGGCTCAAGCCGGCACCAGAAGCTATGTGCGACGTTTTGCGCCCTCTGCGATTTCATATACTTTACTGGGAGCCGGACCTGGGTGGCGCAGACAAAGCTGAGCCTGAGCCTGGACTTGGAGCGTCTGCAGGAACGGGGCCGAGGATTTGCAGTTCCTGCAGAGGCGTCGCCGAAGCATGGCGCTGGCGCCTGGACAACTTTCAGACCTGCGTCCGGATGTGTGGCAAAGAAGGGTGTGGCTTCAGACGGGAAATCGCCAACATTACCTGCATGGGTCCTGGGCTGCGCATCCAGTACGAGCCTGCGATATTCTACCGGTACTTGACAGAAGTGCGATCCCGGGCCTTGACCGAAGAGACCGTGATCGGAACCGCACTCGACGTCCGGTCGGGGGTGCTCGACCCGCAGCGTGCCGGAGTCGAGGTAGAAGAACTCAAAGCCGACGCTTGGAAGGACTCCCTGGCAAAGTCGGCCGCAAAGATTCGCGGCTCGACGGCAGCTAGACCTTAGGATGGCTTGGGATTCCGAAGCCCTATACCCAAGAGTCAATACGCCTCTGTGCTTACCGAGGAGATCTAGCTGAGCAGGACGCTGGCTGGTCGGCTTCTTGGACTTGCAACTCTCATGAGCAACATTTGATGATGTCAGCATGTTTCAGTGCAGCCCCGGAATTTCTAGGGTCTTAAACCCGAGGTTTCGATCGTTCTGGATGTGGGTGGCCAGGAGCTGAGCAGCTTGACTTTACCTACGTCTGCGGGCCTTTGCGGCGACCCTCCACGATGCTCGGACTCGAACTTGTGTTCATGCGTCCTTGGAATCCGAGAGCGATAGAAGCATTGCAGCTTTTTTCGAGGATCTTTGACAGATGCTGGGACCTTACAAGCCAGCAGCGATCTGACCGGCCGTCCCCCCCGGTCCCTCCAACAATGTCTTCTCTAAGGTTCTTCTTCTTCTCGGTGGGCCTAGCGGGTTTGGCAAGCACTTGGAGGAGATGAAGAAGGTCCTGCACCGCCCGGCCTGTGGCCTGCACCATGGCCCGGTCGCTCTCAGGATCGCAGGCGGCAGGCATCACTCCTATGTTGCCTTGTGCGATCTCCTGTTGTGGCACGATCGCCAACAGCTACTTCCCAATCTCTACAACTTGATTCGACTGGGGCCGAGGGCATATGCTGAACTCTCCGAGGCTTTGCTGAAGCAGTTCGCGGGGCTTTGCAGGCAAATCGCTCCCGGAGACACCTCCAGCATCAGCATGAAGAAGGAATCAGACAATTCCTTGGAGACCATAGCCAGACCGGCGCCCAGTGCCGCTCCGACGATGGCAACGGACGAGGAAATAGCCGATCGCGTCGAAGGGGAGATATTGAGACACGGTGGTATGTTGGAGTGCAACCTTCTTTACGTCTACAACCGACAGCTTCGACGGCTCATCGGCGACCAGAAGCTCCTGTCCTTCCTGCGACAGTTCCCTCAGAAGTTCATTCTGTCTTCAGAGCATGGCCGGGACTTCGTTCAGACTGTGAGGATGTCAGCCATGCCGGATGCTCTGCTAGGTCAAACGCTGCAGAGCTCCAGCCAGGAGGGGCGAAGAGCCGTTCATGACTTGGAAGCTGCAGTCGTGAAACAGCTGCAGTCATGGATTCCCAAGACTGAGGACCATGATGGCCCCTTCCTCCCAAGACTGGCACGCGACAGCCGCGTGCGAAGGAAGCTGCAGCAATTCGTAGGACACTGCCCCGTCGCCGCCGTCGCCGCGTTGAAGCGGGGATCTTTGGCCGATCCTGCAATCGTCGGCTCTGGCCTTCAGCAGGATGAGCTACAAGGGAGCCTACGCATGTATGGATCATCAGCTAAAGCGCGAAACTCTGGAATGAGTTCGTCAGAGGCTGCCTGGGTAACCGAGCTCCTGCATCTGCGACTCTTCCTGCTCGATCGGCCAGAGCTCTTCCATGTAGTGGATTCGGGGAAGGAGTGCACGAAGAATTTGCCCAGCTGCTGCTGCCACTTGAAGGTCAAGCTCGCAGACATGGCCGTGGAACTGCTTCAAGAACGAGCCGTGAAGGTCAGTTCCGAACCCAGGAAGCCCGGCAAGGCCACAGATAAGGCCACAAACGTGGATGTTTCAAGCACCCCCACCCTCTTCTCAAACAGTGAAGTTCTCATCGTCGACATGCCACACAACGTCTCGACGACAGCCATTCTCAAGTCGTATCAGAAGCTGGCAGATGAAGAGGGTCGCGCTCGGCAGGTGCAAGCATGTGTCTCAGCCCAACAAGTAGTTGCGGCATGTTGCGGCTTGCTTTAGTTCATTCGCCATTCGCTGCCATCCCAATGTTAGACGATTAGCATAATATCTTTAGGAGTAACTGTGTTTTCGAGACGATGTGTCAAGGTGAGCGCGGTTGTCGTAACTTGCTGTTTGTCTTGAAATTCCGATGGCATCTGCAGAGGCTCCAGCCTTCCTGCTGCAGCTTCAGGATGTTTGCTCCTCACGTGGCACAGCTCCACGATACAGCTGCTCCAGAAGCAGGCCACGTCTGAAGTTTGTTGCATTTTTGTATAGGTCGTAGGTGTTGTAGCTTGGGACTTCTAGAAGCCACTGACCTCACGGTCACTTGACAAGGAAGTCTACGAGGCTTTGGTTTATGGCAGCCTTCCTGCAGAGGGAGAGATCGATGCAAGGCCCAAGCTTCGCAGAATGTCTTGCCATGGCCAAGCAAACCTCCTGGCAGGTTGCACGTTGTGCACAGGAGGGCCAAGACGCAGACGTTCGTCTCTCCCAAGGGCACTCCGGCAACCACACGCTTCCGGCTCCTTTCAACCTACCGGACTCCCGGCCCAGCAGTCACCCGAAAGCAGACTCCACAATTTCACGGAATCACTCTGAGGAGACATCTGAGCGGGGAGAGCGATGCGTCTGTTGAAGAGGTGCTCTCCCTGGTTGTTCCCTGGCATCGAAAACATGTCACGTCCTTGCCCAACACTTGGGTGCCAACGTCTTGCAGCCTTAGTCTGCATTGCGTGAAGCATCCAGTGATCCAGATGGCTTGCGAGATTTAATTGCTGCAAGGAGTGCTGGCCGCTCACAGCTTTGGAGAATCAGATTTGCACGCATTTCGCACACATCGGTCACAGCATTGTTGGGGACAAACTGCAACTCAAGCGGGACAATGCCGTGGCCAACGCACTGCAGAATCGTATCTCGACATTTTAGCCTAGGCATGCAGCCCATACTTGCGGCTTGGGGTGGGAGCTCTTTCTTTCCGAGGTCTCTATCTCCACTGCAGACAGGTTTTCGGCAATGGGCAGTTCGGTGCGTTTACTGCTGAGAGCTGCAGACCTCCTGAGTTCGTCAGACTGCTGCATGCGCTGGAGACTGGACAAAAAGTGGTGAACACCCTTACGGCAGTCCTTAGAGCAAAAATCCAGATGTGCCAAGGTGGAGGAGGCCAAAGAAGGCTTTGCCACAAGCCAGCTGCAGGAAGAGCCCCACTCTCAGAGCCAAAGCCAAGCTCGAGAGCCGATGTGATCCTAGCTCTTCTTGCGATGACTCACAGGACATGCCAAGCAGTTGCCAAGAAAACCCCCGCAAAGGTATGAGGAGGTACGCAGCATGCCGCAGTCGGAAGTGGACGAGATGATCTGCCACTACAGGTCGGCAACACCTAACGTGTCCGGCAGTCATGCTACCCATGCACACCAATGTCGACAAGCTTGTCTTTCCTCTTCCAACAGATTGTAAATAATCTTTACAACCTCTCCGCCCCGCGTGGTTGAGAATCTGCCCCAGTGCTATGGTAGACATGTGGTAGGACATCGCTTCACCTGTGCGTTGCTGTGCCAGGAAGCGTGGGCTATCTGACCAGGCCTGCTGCAAAGAATTGCTGAGACAACCAGCACGCAAGAGCGAGTAGGAATCCGACTTCAAGGCACTCGAAGTCATACCTTGCTGGGACGTGTGCGGTTACCGTGGCTCTGTCAGCCATTTTTCTGGTCCATAGAGGGCTCATACAGGTTTGTCTACCGAGGTCCACGGAAGATTCGTTAATTCTTTTCCACGGATATCACATTGCATGAGCGGCCATAGAGTAGAAGCAGCCGATGTTCTTTTTTCAGTGCGTAACCGCCCGTGCGGCCATGCTGAAGCAGTCAGGGCTGGGTGTGTAAGTAGTTCTCAGTTCTCAGCAATTCAAGACATGAGTCTTTTCAGTGCAAATCTTTAGTTGTGCAGAGGACGCAAATGCCGTGGCGAAAATCCTGTCGCAGTACGAGGACGTATACCATGCATCACTACGGTTGTACCAAGTCTTCACGTGTCATGGCTTGTTGGAGCAACCAGCTAGAGGCGTACCTCTCGGAAGCTGTTAAAGAGTTTACGCCACCGCCGTGGGTCATGTGGCTGCGTACCGCCGGGTAATGCCTTTTTTTTTGCGAGGACTTTTGGGTTCATCACATGATGGCCGAAGAGCTGGGCCAGAAACCGAGAGCCAAATGACGGCTCGTGCAGACATCCACGGAAGCGACAAGGCATCCAACTTCCCAGAGGAGACGCCTATGCGATGCAGTCCGGCCTTGCCACGCGCTCAGAGCAAAAGCGTGGAGAAGCGCTCTTCCCAGGGTTCACCAGCTGCTTACGGGCATCGGCAAGTTCCCCCCAGTTGCTCTCCCACAGTCTTCATAGGCCCAGGGAATTTCGAGGCACATAGGTTTCCGATCTAGAGGTTATGCTTGCCCGAGATGGGCTTCCATGCTCCCGTTGGCAACTAGTCTGTCTTGAACACACATTCACGCAGCACAGAAGGTGGTTGGTCTCTCCATGATTGCGACCTTGGCTAAGTTATCTTGCTCTGTCTGGGCGTTGGTGGGACGTCTTGTGATCGTTGATGGCGGATCTATCGTGGTGGTGAGTGTGGGGGTGGCGGTCGGATGTCGTGCGATCTGTTTGTTGCATGCAGTCGTGTTTTTGCTGTGACATAAGTGATCGCTCTAATTCTGCTTGATTGCATATGCAGAACGCACACCATGTCCGATACATACTCATTTTGCATGGTGCGTGTGTGCTTACAGAGGATTAACGGAGCATCGCAACATGGCCCGGGCTGATAGAATCCTTATGAGACTATTTTGGAGCCCTTCCTACCGTAGCACCCTTACAGAACCCTTGTGGATCGCTTCTCTTGTTGCATAAGACTTGTTATTGGTTGTGCGCTTGCATCATAGGCAACTGGGATGTCCTTCTTGTTCTTCGGCATGGTGCCGCTTCTTGGCCAGGACCTCAAACATTCCGTGTGACAGCCACCACGCATTTCAAGAATTTGTGCATGGCTGCTAGTCATGATCGGTGTGGTGTTATGACAATGAGCAGCATTCTCAGCATCATCGTCATCATCATTGCCAGAGTTCGTCTTCGTGTTCCTGGTTGCTTCTGTCTTTGGCTGCTGCTGTTGTTGTTGCTGTTGTTGTTGTTGGTGGTGGTGGTGGTTTTGGTGGTGTTGGTGGTGTTGGTCTTGGTGTTGGTCTTGGTGTTGGTGTTGTTGGTCTTGGTGTTGGTGTTGTTGGTTTTGGTGTTGGTGTGGTTGTGGTTGTGCTTGTTGTTATTCTTCGCATGTTCGTCTTCAGAGGTGCCTTGCCGACTTGTCTGCTTAGGCCTGGCAGTTTCCACTCTTCTGCGGAGATGTGTTGGGCCAGAGCGGCCGTCCCAGACCAGGAAGTATGATTCCAGAATACTGAAATATCAAGCACACGATTATGCAGATTGTGCTGCAGTGTGTGTGCACATATATAATATCTATATCTGTATGTATATATATATATAATGCATATAGGCTCATGCAGTCTTATATTATATGTATATATATATATATAGCTCTCTCTCTCTCTCTCTTTGTTCGTTGTTTTGACATGAAGCATCGTACACGAGTAGTTTCTGGCGGTACAAAAAAGCCGTAGACGGTGCGACAAGAGTGTGTGCAAGAGACACTTGGCTGAGGTGGTACAGACCGCAGTTCTCCACTGCAATGTCGCTAGCCTTGAGTGCCATGGCCCCGGCTGCGAGTCTAGGGCAGTTGCGGTCGCTTCAGTCTTTCTTGCAGTGCCATCTTTCTGACACGCTGTGTCTGTCGAGCGCAACCACCACAGTAATCGGGGCAACTGCATCGGGCTCAAGAGAAGGTCTCCTTCTCGTTTCAGGTCTTCCACTGCAGATTGCGAATGTCGGCTGGCATTTTCACCATACCAAAGGTCCCACAGTGTAATTAGACAAGCAAACCCCCAAGCAAGTTGGCGAGACATCGTGCTTCAAGCATCTGCGTCTTGCAATCTGCATGTGTGATGTTCGCCTTTAGTGTTACGCTCGGCCTGAGCCTGGTGCTCTCTGGAGGCTCCTGAGATCTCCGTCTCAGCCTCCTTTCGCCTAAGCTCCACAACAGGCGCAGTTGAAGTCGGCCAGCTCGCCGTCGACGCATCTGGAGAGATCAAGGCCGGCCTTGTTTGTCAGGGGCCCGAGCATGTAGGCCTAGGCAGGATCGACACCTCAGTGCTTACATGGATGTTACCGATTTCTTTGTGGTGCCAGCACCACAGCATGTTCGCATTGACTCTTGCCAACTTGCACAATGATCCATGTTCTGAAGGGGTTCTTGCACGTTTTTTGCGATGACCACAGGCAAGCAAGGTGATGCGAAGACAGGCCTTGGACGCCCGATCATGGCGAGTGCATCTCCGGAGGGGCAAGCGGCGGATCATCTTGCGAGGCTCCGCTGCTCTCAGAGCTTCCCAGCGCACCCGTCGACTGCCGCATGCGCAACTTCAGCCGCGTCGATCACGTGTGCCCATCAGAGATGACAGGCGGAGCCTTTCTCTGCACTCTGCTTTCGGCAGCAAAGTACTTGAGTGTCCCGACTTGGATCTAGGTGAGGAGTTCTGCAAGACACGAATGTTCTTGGACGTGCATGGCAACTTGAGGCAACAGGGCTACACAAGCTTGTTCACCTGCCTGCATGCCGATTTCGCCCATTTGGATGCCAGTTCAGGCCTTGCAGCTGGTTCATCATCGCGCCCAAGAATCCTCCAAACTGCGATTGGGACGGCAAGTTAGCTTGCGACGAAGAGTCCACCGAAGCCATCAAAGCAACAAGGCCCCCCATGAGACTTCTGGAGGGAGATTGGCCGAGCAGTCTTGCAAGTGGCTCTGGCAGGCGTGCCGAGATGGCTGCAAAAGGAGCGAGGTCGGACGTTTGACTGACACGAGCGGCGCTGGACAAAACGAGTTTTGAGTCAGCGGGGCTTCGCCGGCGACAGCAAGCGGCGATTCCAGCGCTTGGCCCAAGGCCACGGCTCTGTTGACTCTCGGCGCCTTCGTCAGCCGAGTGGTGGGAAGCCAGCTGCCCAGCAGCTGCCCAGCAGCTGCCCAGCTGTGGCGTTACTTCTTGGCTTCATCACGGCAATGTAACTCTGCTGCGAGGCCGCACGCCCATCATTAGTGGCCTCATGATCATGGCTAATGGCACAGGCCTCAGCATAATTTTGGTTCGAGCGTCAGCAGTCAGTAAATGAAGCAGCTGTATGGCACGGATTCGAGAGAGCGCACGAGGTTTTGCAGCATCTATCATGGCTTTCGCTGTGAGCCCGGCACCCTGCTCCACTGATTGGTGAGCTCCAGGGCAAGACTGGTTGAGCCTAGGTCAGATGCTCGTTTCTGCCGGCGGAAAGGCCATGATAGCAGCGTTCAGTCGTGACGACGATGGCATCTGATGCAATGGCACAGGGGGCCTGGCCCTCCCAAGAGAGACCTCGCCAGTCGGACCCTTCTGCGGCATCCTTACTTCCAAGGGAACAACAGCCCCGGGCGGGGCGCTGCTTGAACGTTGTTGAGCTGTATGTTTACATTGTTCATGTTGCTCGCGGAGGCAACATCCTCCCCGGCGGAAGCTGGAAGGCACCGAAGCGTTTGTCAGCAAGGGGCTTCGTAGGCCTTTCACGCTGCTACAAAGTTCGAGGTACTGCCTGGACCGAAGTGGCAGTGCAGGTCCCGGAAGCTTGCTGTCTTGTCTGTTGTGGCGAAGAGACGCGTTCGCAGTTTCGTACCGGCAATCTTGTGCGGCAGGGTCCACACCGGGCCAGAGTCCTGCAGAGTCGCAGGCGCCTGTGCTGGTAGCCTCCACTTGCAGTGCTTATGAGAAAGGAGAGACACGTAAGGGCTTGTGAGATGTTTCAGCAGCTTGGAGGCCTGGCCAACGTTCAGACATCAGTTCGTACACTGTAGCTCCATGCTGTGGGCCGGGCTCTCAGCCTTCGGGACTTCGGGGCCCAGCGCCTTTCGTAGGCGGCTTCTGCCTCAGTTGCTGAGGTTGCCGTGTGCTCGGCCATCGTGGCATGGCAAGCGACGACGAGAGCGGCCAGTGCCTACGAGCGCCTGGACCCTGGGGAGGGCTCTCAAGGCACAGCGAAGTCACGCAGTGATGTCCGGCTCATACTTGGCCGCTTGGGGGATGCTCAGTCACGGCCAAGGTATGCACTGGGAGGTCATCCGTGTCTTCGCATACGGCCTGACCTGTTCTCAGCTCTACGATGCCGACAAGTCAACCGCATAAAGCTATCTGCAAGGAGTCGAGTGTCAAGTTGCCAGATGAGATCGCTGCTTTGAAGCTTGTTTCGGCTCTCTGGTCCAGATTAGCACAGACCAGCTCATCTCCTTCCAGACCATGTAGAGCTCCGAAAGACGACTTCAACACTAAGGGTGAATCATCCAAGCCTCTCGATGCACGCACACACAGTCATGGCGACTGCCGAAGATGGCGATCAGCCGGCCTTGACAAAGGTTTGCACAGCTGGTACTGAGCTGGGCAGCTAGGCAGCGATTGCGGACTCAGAAAGCGACAGTTGCAATAGAGATAGAGGCTGTTGCATGAGGATGCTACCTTCGCAGCTGCAACGGGTGAGACAGTTTGCTGTGAATGTCAGGCGGCCGGGCAAACCCCGATGATGTGGACGAGGCAGAGACGGAAACCTATGCCAGGACAGGAACATGAGTCGCTGATTCCGGGGCCAATTGAGGCTTGCCAGACTTTTTCTTCTCTTTTGCTTGTCGAGAGGAGCTTGCAACGGCGTGGATCCAGCAGCACCTTTGGGAGCTCTGGGAGCTGGGATGCAGCTCGGTGAGCAAAGCCCTGCAGCTCTTCCAAGCCCACCCCAAAGGCCCCAAAGCCCAGCACTGCGGCCTGTGGATTGAGGTGATTCTAAGTCAAACTATGCCATGCAACTAGAGCGAAGACTTGCGGAGATGATCGCAGACATAGCAGAACATGCCAACGGAAAACAAAAGTCGTCAAGGATTCCCCCACCGCGACCGCTCACGGCGACGCCTTCGATACGGGGCTGTGCGCTTTCGGTCACACCGCCGACTCATCTCTTGCAGGCAGTGCAAAGCAGGGTTCGAAGCAACAGCCAATCCATCTGGCGTCTGGAAGAACATGAGAGCATTGAACATTCATTGTGAGTGCAAAGTTCGATGTCTCTCCCGCCTGATTCTGCAGGAGACAAAGATGCGGAGATTGACGTGTACTCTTTATCTGGAGCTCACATCGGGCATGTCACCATGGATTCCGGAGACTCCCTGGGGGAAGCCTGTCTGCAAGATGAATTAAAATTTTCGATCCGGCAAGCAGTGGAGTCCCAGCTGAACAGCATTTTCCAGCAAGAGCGTCTCAACATGGACATTCAGCACACGAATCAACAAGAACTCGAGGTTCACCTGCTGTTTGCGCTTCCATGACAACAGTCAAGACTTGGTTCCAAGAGTTCATGCCCAGGCTTTGAAGGAGAGAATTCGCGAGATGACAGGCAAATCCGTTGAGCTGGCGCTTGGGTGGCTCGCTCAGGCTCTGAGAGCATGTGGCTGGCTGCGTGTGATAATGGGACATTGTATGTTCGCAGGCTTAGGAAATTAATTTGCTGACTGTTAGAATGCTTCCCGCCCAGGCTGTCGATCCTGAAGGAGATTCATGCAGGGTTGCTGCAGCTGGCACACAAACATGACGCGTGCGAATTCGGCATCTGATGTTGCCTCTCCGCCTATGATGTCTCTTTGCTCGTCGATGCTCGTCTCTTGCTTTCCTGGCTCTGGATCCCGCTGTCTTGCTCAAGTCTCGCTTCGAGTGTTTGCTTTTCTATGCCCCGCCAGCCTGGTCGGCAGGACAATGACGACATGACTATAGCCAGCAGTGGGATTCTGGAGACATTGCACGTTCAGGCCATCAATGTTTCTTTGCATAGAGCCTCACCTGCAGCAGGGTTTTGTTGCTTTGTGTCAGACAAGCCCTGCGCTCGAGAATCTTCGAGCTAAGGATTCGTCTACTCCGATGATGGCCGCTGCGCCGGGATCTACCTCATGGACGATGGGACTGCCGAGATGTTTACGTTGCATGACTCCGGATCAGCTATCACCAGCCGTTCCCTTTTCCAGGGGAATTTCATTTCTTGACTTTACAGAAGCTTTATTATATTAATATATATATATATACTATACTAATGTATATTATAATTATCTTATATATTAAACACCGAGCAGTGACGGAAAGGGACCCGCAGAGAGAGACGCAGCTGAGGCCTTTGAAGGTCCGTGGTCACACCATGTAAGACTTTCTGCAAAGGCCGCTCTTAGTGCCATCAACCAAACGCCTGCCCGGGGCCTGCCGACACTGTTTGTTTCACAAAGCTGTATGATGATGCAGGCGAGAATAATCGTCAATTGGAATTAGGCAATGCCCAGTGCTGGCGTGGAATTGACACGCAGGAGTATGCGGGAGTGTCAAGTTTCGGAGACTACTGGGCAATTGTCAGTTCGAACGTTGCACCCGTGCAGGGGCTTCGCTGAAGAACTGAAGCGCCAAGCTCGAAAGGTCACGTTCGTCGTCGATACGTTAACAGCTTACTGGCTTTGCCAAAGAAATCCGAGAGAGAGGCTCTGCTCTGATAGCATCCCTCGGCACGTGTCGAAGAGGAGTAACCATGCGATGAGCGATGTCTCCGACAGTAGACGCTGGACCCAGCTGGGAGTCGAAAGGCTCGGGGCCTCCAGCCATTCCAGTCCCAGCTGCTTCAGGTCCGGGCTTAGACAGAACTGTGAAGTATGGTTCGCAGGGTGGAAAACGTGGCTATCACTGCCAGTCTATTGAAACGAGGGAGAAGAGCAGGAGGAACGGTGCAAGAAGCGATGCCGAGCTCGCGGTTTGGTCGAAGACGACCGGCGCAGCCCAAGGGTGCTCCGATGGACTCGAACCCGTGGCAAAGCTCGTCGTGACCGCAAGCCGAGAGTTCTCGAGTTGAAACGCCCCGTGACCCAAACTTCCAGTCCCGAACCGACGAACCGTGCCCTTCCAGACTCAGGCTGAGCAGGCGAATGCTGAATGCTCGGGAAGACGAAGAGCAGACTCAGACCATGCACTGGGGCACGTGGTCACCAGGAAAGTGCAACCAGTTCTCATTTCCCGAAATCGGCATATGACTTTGCAAATCCACAAATGTCAGGACCCTCCGAGTCAGTCTGCATTGAGGTGGATCAGATGGAGAGGAAGGCACCGTGATACAGCAAAGGGATACTATGCGGAGAATGCTTTTCCAAAGTTACGAGTCGGTCATCGGCTGTACCGACTTGCAGGTCTACAGCGACGCCATGGCATGTGGCTGGACGCAGCAGTCTGGCCGGATACATGCAGACTTCAAGATGCGGTGCCGGCCTCAGCGACTGCGCTTGCATGCAAGGCATCCTTGCCATCATTCCGCTCTCCTTGCTGCCACCGGTGCCGTTGCCGGACAGCCCTTGTCATTCCAAAGATTTGAGGTTTCGATGGGCAGGCCAGTCATTGCAGCACCTCGCCTGAATTGGTCACCAGCAGAGGCGAGCTGATCCTTCTGTCTGTGCCACGACGAACTCAAACAGAGGAGATTGGATCAGATCTCTGAACCAGGCCTCCTGGCTGCCTTTTTCCACATGATGTATACCTAAAATCCAGAGTCTGAGGGGTGCTGATCCCGGTGCAAACAAAGCCCTTCAGCCAGCGCCGCGAGGGAAAACTGCCTCCCTTTCTAGACTCTAGACGTAGCCTAAATATGCATGAGCCATTCACATAGGCATCAGCCGGAACGGAAATGGCCAGTGCCTCCCTGTGCCAAGTTGCGGCCTTCGTGTTTCCCAGCGTGCTCTACAATCTCGGTGGGAGCGACGCGCATGTTGCCCTGTCTCGCAGATCAGCGGAGCGGTATCGCTTCAGAGCCTCGTCTCGGCTTTTATCGGATCGGATGGCTGAGGTTTTCGACGACTGGCACAGGGAAGGCGAATCCACTGAGCCATGATCTCTTCTTCAAGAAGCTAGCTGCTTAGGCGCTGGCACCGTATCCTCGATGTCTCACTTGTTCGAAGTAACTCTTTCCTTTATTCTTCGGTGGCTGCACAAGCGGAGCTTAGGACGCTTGTGGAGAGTGCAAGATTATGTAGAGATTACCTTTTGGCATGACAATCATGCGTTCTCATGTCACCATCCGGCTTCTCAAACAGTACAGTGTTTGACTAGCTCCGAGCGACGAGCCCTGCCTCGTGATGAGATGATTACCGCCCAGTTGCGATGCAACGTCGGGTTCCGCCGTGCGCGATCTGCCAAAGCGAGATGCGATGGAAAGCCGAAGCTTTGCTGGGGGCGTGCCTTCGTGTTGTGCCCGTTTTGGATCACTTCAGGGCTGTAGAAGTGCTCGGAATCAAGCCAGCCGAGGTTGACTTGCCTGACAACAGGACTCGGTGCTGTACCGTTCCTGTTTGTGAAGCTCCCAGAATGCAAGTTGCAAGTGTACAGTGAGTATGCAGTTGCCTGATTGCGCTTTGAGGTGCATCCTGGCCACATTGGAATCTGGGGCTTGTCCGTGGCCAACGCCGCTGCCTCAAGCGGCGGCCACTCCCACATCGCACGGTTCGCCGCCTCAGGCGGTGGCCGCCGGCATGATGCTAGCAGCGTCCTCCGGCATGCTGCTGGAGGCAGACAGCCTAGTCAGTCTAGCCATCAAAAGGGAACGGACTGTGTCGTCAGGCTCACGAGCATTGTGGGTTTCTGGACTGGCAGATATTTGCTGGACTTCTGGCAAGCCCCTCAGACAGCCGAAGTGTCATATTGGTAGACGTGGCGCACTTGCCCTCAGGGATGTCGCTTCTTGTCAGGCGGGTGGGCTCTTCATCCGAGTGAGCGAGGGCCTGCATGGCGACGACGAGGAAGAGGCGCGAGCAGTACGGCCGCTCAGCCTTCCCAGAGCGCCCCGAAACCTCCAGGAGTCGGAGATCGCCGCGTTGCACGAAGCGCTCGTCGAGAGGAGAGCACCTGCACAGGGTGTTCTCGGCTCCCCGCGCAGTCGATTGCTCTGTGCAAGCTTTCGCAACAGACAATCAACGCCAAAACTTGGCCACCATGATACGGTCTCTCATTTGTCCTTCATTCGCACAGTGTATTCGATTTTTTCCGATGTTTCTCACGGGGTCGCACGTTGCTGGCAAAGCTGCTGAACCTCGAATAACTACTACTGACAGCTCAAACGTGAGTCCAAGCGATGCAGCGGAATCTGCACCAATCAAGTTTTCTAACACTTGGCATGCGTCCTGTCTAAGCCGACAGTGATTGAAGTGAAGATGGGGCATGTCACGGTCTGGCATGCCTAAACATGCATCTTGTGTCGGTCTTTGCCACGGCGCTTAAGCATGCTCCAAGGGTTTGCGCTTGGAGGGTTTAAGGTAGCAAGCGGGTTTTTGTTGCTGGACTCTTGAGTCTGGCGCAGGAAGCAATGGCGAAAAGCCATGCTTATCTTCACAGTCATGCTCGCTGCTGAGCTTCTCCTGACGATGGAGCCTGCGCTGATGCTCTGGGATTCCTGAAGGTAGTATTCGTAATGCAACACAACTGCAACACCATCATTTCATTACAATCACCATCTTCCACCACACCGTCACCACCACCACTACTACCAGCAGCATCATCATCATCCCCCAATGAGAGAAACCGAAAATACAAATCTGGGATGGTTGCTACTACTCTCCTTAGCCTTAGCAGCTTGCGATTCGCCGATGCAGCTAGGTTTTGCCACTCTGCAGCGGAAGGCATCGCGGTGGGCGTGGCCTTCAGCAGGCGAAGCATCCCCCAACGGAGTCCAACGAAGACCTGTGGTTTCGGGCCGAACAGGCGACTGAACACTGAGTTCGGGGTCTACATCTCCTTGCTCCTTGCAGCCAGAGCCTCCGCATCGTATAAAGCAGTGCAAAGCCCGATTGCCATCAGTTGCCGGAAGGGCGGGCTTGCGTGTCCCTCGCCGGTTTACACCTGTGACGTTTCAGTTTCAGGTGCACAACGTCCCTGAGGGCCTCGCGGTTGCACTTGTTCTTGTTCCACGTCTGCCTGGCGCAGTTGCAAGGGGCCCGCGCGTTCATGTCGACAGCACAGTCATTCCGTGGCAGGTGGAGTTTCTGCGACGCTGACTGCTCTGATTGCCATCTTGACGAGTGTTCCGCAGCCGCCGCTGGCAAGCCACCACAGCTTTGCACTTTCCCGCTCCCAAGTGTGCGAAGAAGCAACCTTTCAGCCTAGGCACTAGCTGCGTTCCTCTTTGTGGAAGTGGGCTCCTGAGTGTCGACTTTTGTGCACTTGCAGTGCAGCACATGCTTTGGTGGCTGTACCGCAAACGACTTGTCGAGAAGGGCTCTACTAAACATTGTTGGATTCGTTTGTGTAAAAGTTAATGGCATGTGAGTTGTACGAGGTCTCGTACTGCTCTATTTGCCCCTGTCACTGTTCTCGAGTGTGACTGAAAAAACTGTTGAACCAAGGAAGAACCGGAAAAGCCACGCGGATGAGGGAAACATGTCGAGCTTTCTTAGCCTCGACACTCAGACCACGAACACAGCTCCAGCATTGCACACTCAGCATTGCTGCACACCTATTTTCTTCGTTTGGCTATCTATATCCGGTAACAGTGCCGAGTCGCACTGACGGCTTCTTGGAAGTGCAGTGCAAAATGTATGCAGGCTACTGCATACAGGGGCCGAGGACTCGTTCTCATGAAGCAGGTTCGATGCCATCGCAGTTGCTCCACTCGCAGCCCGGTCCGTCACAAATCCAAGCACCCCACTTGAGCCGTTCCCACGAGCTGGGTCTGGCATTGGAGACCTAGGTTTTTCAATGGCTGCTGCCACTGGGCCTTGCATTTGCTGCAGGCGGGTGCCACTCCCCAACACCATTGCCTTACGCGGATAGGAAGGTGCAAAAGCAGTGTGTTCCACACTACCCTGGGACATGTTGAGCTCATGCATTATGACTCTCAAGACATACAACACAAATATAGAGTACAAACCCCCACACACAGCACACATACAGAGACTTACGCACAGACATACATGCATACATGTCCGCAGAAGTATGTGTATCATTGTCGAAAGGTGCAATGGTCTATGTAAGCCTTCACGAACTTTTGGTCGAGTCAGTGGAGCAGCTGGGGGTGACCAAGGCCACCCTGGCTCGGGCCCGAGAATGGCTTGAGGGCCTTGAATGGTTTTGAAGGCTTTGGTGCTTCTGCGGGTTTGTACATATATACTCGCACTTGCGTGTGTAAGTGGGAGATATGGGCACAGGAATCCACAAAACAGAGTATTCATTCCAAGCAACTTCCGACCCCGTGCAAACAAGCGTGTCGCACTTCAACGTTATGTTGCTGCCGCACAAATCGCCAAGTGTGCGTGGGAAAGTCGTTGAGCGTCGTTCCTTCGGTGGAAGTATTGACGGATGTCCTCGAAGCAAACCGCCATCCTGCGACCGAGGCATCTTCACTGTCCTTTGTCACGATGGCTGGATGTATTTACGCATTGCAGCTGCTTGGCTTGCGGTGCGTCTGCGACCAGTCATGTTGCACCGCAGCATAGCTGGAATCGCTGAACCTGCCAAGTATGCTTGCTCAGGTTCATCACCGGTATCTGATTTAGAATTTTTCCTTGATTGACTCCAATGCGACAGGAGAGTATCCTGAGTGTGTTGCAGCGACTGCCAGCATGCCACCGTGTGCTCAAGAGAGATGGTGAGGAGTGACCGGGAGATTTGAGCAGGGCACATGGTGCCTTGCAAGCCGCCATGAGCAGTTGTCGCTCTCAAAATCGCCGAACTCCGATATTCCAAAGGCTGTCCCTGCCAAAAGAGCAGAAGATCGACTCATGCCACACTCCGAAGGGAGCAAAGGCTGGCGCTTGGCCTTCAGCACTCTACCTTCATCCTGGCGGAACACCACGCTAAATTTGGGGGCAGTCTGCTGCTGTACAGCTTGTTTAGACTCAGCTTCTGAGGTAGCTCTGGACTTGGGGCGGTTCCCGTAGAAAGCGTGATGCGTCGCCCGAATTTATAATGTGAAAATGGCTCACGCGCTGTTCCCTGGGAGACGTTACTTTGCGAAGGATGTTGATGGATGCTCACAATCGCATCCAGTCACACTCCTGTTGAGAATCAGCGACTGCAGCGCAGTGATCGGCTCCCGAGTGTGAACTACCCAACTACAGGCAACTACAGGCAGCTGCCTGTGGCAGTATTTTAATTTAAGCTTTCGGGTGTCGGGTCTGCACATGCTCGTGCAGCTATCATTGAAGAGACACTTGACAAAGTACTCTCGCTGTCATCTTACAGCCATGCTCGATGAAGCCTGCGGCAGAGGCGTGTCTTTGTTGTCATCTTACACAGTGGGGCAATCTTCATGCGAACGCTTCCTGCACATGCATGGGTCAATGCATGTCATGTGTGCCTGTAAGCATATGCATTGGCATAGAGTCGTCGAGTAGTTATGCAGTCTGTGTGTATTTTGTGTGTATGTATGCATGCATGCATGCATGCATGCATGCTTGCATGTGTGCAACATGCATGTACCCCTATGTGTATGCATGTATGTATGTATATGGATGTATGCATGTGTATATGTATGTTGCATGGG